CTGCCCAAAAAAGGCTCTGGATCAAAACATGAACAGACCATCTGTAGTGACAGGGAAAAGAAGCCGTCCTCAGGAAAGATTCCACCTGCTACTGTGGAGGAGTTGGATCAACTGATGGGAAAATATTTCTCCAAGCATAGTTCTGTTCTGAATAATGTTGTATTTAGGGCTCTACCTTTGTGCCTGTAGTGCACTGCCATGTAAGTAATTTGGATTTGCTGAATGTGTACTTACTGAGTAACAGTTCAAAAGTTGAATAAAGAAATAAATGTTTGCCTTTTAAAAAAAATTAAAACCACTTTGTTGAACATCACATCAGGTACAATGTGAAATCCATGTTGTTTATAGTTTACAAATGACAAAATGTTCACATAAACTCATGACAGCATTTAAATAATATCACCCTCTATAGCATTCTGTGATTTACTGTCTCTACATATACAGCACAAGACTTTTAAGAGTATTTAACAAGAGTATTTTCCCTGGTTTTACTAACACACTGGGGCACATGTTCACCAAACGCAGCAAACCTTCACCATCTTATCCAGGAGGGTCACCTCTTCACCCTCACATGGAAGAAGTAATCTGATTAGCATGGTGGTTTGTAGCAGGGATTTCGGAGTGCCCCTTGTGTAGCGCTGGGACCCAGTCACGATGTTTCATCCATTTCATTGGCTGCTTTGCTGCAATAATGAAAAACAATTAGCAACTCTATAAACAGAACATAAATCTACAAAATCACTCAGTAGGATGTTTGTTCTAATTTGTTATGAGCTCAGACCGCATTGAGAATAACACTAATAATCTATAAAGAGTGATATGAACTTATCTTACCTGAATGAAAATGTCTGGAGCACTAACTAGTGATGGGTCCAGCAACACTGACGCACCGACGCCTGTATCGGTGCGTCGCTTTAAGAAAAAGTCACGTGAGCGATACAGCTGCTGTATCGCTCATTGCCAACGCGCCAAACTGTGTTTAAAAGGTACCGCATCCGGATCTGCCAACGGAAGAGTCGCCACCAAAAAAACACAAAATTACTCTCGCAAAGATTAAAATAATAA